CCCTAGCTGTCATAGTTAGGTTTCTATTGCTGTGAAGAGACACCATGACCATGGCAGCTCCTACAAAGAAAACATTTAATTGGGGCTGCTCACTTACAGTTTCAGAAGGTCAGTCCATTATCATGATGGGGTGCATGGCGGCATGCAGGCGGGGGGGGGGGGGGGGTTGCTGGCTACATCTTGACCAGAAGGCAGCAGGAAGTCGTCTGTCAGTCACACGGAGGGACTCCTGAGCGAAAGACCTCCAAGCCCACCCCCCACCATGACCCATTTCCTCTGACGCGGTCGTACCTCCTAATATAGAGTCATTTGTTTTCCACCCAGCACGTAGTGCACAGAAGGAACGGCTGTGCCTTCCATCCTGACTCCCATCTCTGCTCATCTGTTGGGTTTCATTGGTGTGACTTCTGTTTCCAGTCAGCGCAGGGCCTCAGCCTGCCTTGTTTTCCTTAACTCTCACAGGCAAGCTGGTGGTTTCATTGCTGGGCTTCTCTGTTGGGCTTGTTTTGTTGAGTTATAGCCTCTCATAGTCCAGGCTGGCCCCAGACTTGGTATTTTCCCAAGGATTGCCCTGAACTTCTCATCTTCCTTCCTCTGCCTCCCAAGTGCTAGGATTACAAGTATGCTCTGTTTACTCAGTGAGCAAGATCAAACCTGGGCCTTCATGTGAGATGGGCCAGCTCTCTGCCCGTTGCCCTGCATCACCGGCCAAACCAGCTGTTTGCAGGTTGTCCTTCAGTTTGAGGCTGTCTGACATTCCCTCAATCACGATTGTGCACTGTAGGCAAGAATGCCACTGTGTCAATGCTATCTCCCCATCCAATCAGGAGCAGCCCATTGTGTTAGTGCTGTCTCCCCGTCCAATCAGGAGCAGGCTCATTGTGTCAATGCTCTCCCCGTCCAATCAGGAGCAGGCCCACTGTGTTAGTGCTGTCTCCCCGTCCAATCAGGAGCAGGCCCACTGTGTTAGTGCTGTCTCCCCGTCCAATCAGGAGCAGGCCCGCTGTGTCAGTATGGCCCCATATTAGAGGTGTTGGCTTTGGGATTAGCTGGTGGCAGGTATTTACCCCCCACACACACACACCCCACACACACCGGTCACTAACGAGTGCTCTGTGGGAGAGGACTTGAAGTTGTGCCTATCCTTTCCCACACATATTTACCCATTGAGTCAGGACGGCCATCAAGATTTAAAGGCAGGGACTGCCCCATTCCTTCTGGACTGGTGAGCTTCCTCGTGGTGTGGAGACCCCCAGGCATAAATTGATTTTCGCTGCCACTTCCTAACTGTAATTTTGCTACTGTTATGAATCGTAATGTTTTCTGATGGTCTTGGGTGGCACCCACGGTCATTTGAAAGGGTCATTTGTCCCACAGGTCGAGAACCACTGTTCTATTCCTTTCTACAATCGCACTTTGGCGTTTTTGAAAAACTTACTCCTCCTACCCGCTAACTTTCTTGTAGAATAGAATCAACAACGCACCAAATCAAATTTGCGCCCTTGATAACAGAGATAAATAAACCGACCAGTGGGGGTCAGTGAGACGACTCAGCGGGTAAAGGCCCTTCTTACCGTGCTTGAGGACCATGCGGTGGAAGGACTGAATCTACTTATGTAAATTGTCTTCCGACCCCCGACACCCATGCTGTGGCACACACATACGCACAGGCGCATGACACATACACACAATGGTTTTATGGTTGTTTTGTTTTGAGATACTGTCTCACTCTAGTCCTGACCAGCCTCAAACTCAGAGATCCATTGTGCCAGCTAAAATGGGCTTTCAGGATGAACTTTGTGATTTTAAAAATCCTGGAAACAAACAAACAAACAAAATAGGTGCTGGAGACATGGCGCAGGGAATAAGAGCACTCTGTTCTTCCAGAGGTCCTAAGTTCAATTCCCAGCAACCGCATGGTGACTCACAATCATCTATAATAAGATCTGGTGCCCATTTCTGGCCTGTAGACATACATGCAGGCAGAATACTGTAACAAAAATGTTCATTTCTGTACAGCTGAGTGAAAATACGATATTTTCTAACAGTTTGAATTGCAAGGCTCTTTAACTGTTTTCCGTTGCTAGTCTTGGAGAAAGAGGTCTGCCCTCAGGGAGGAGGACTGAGAGTTTGAATCCAGCCTGGATTACAGGGCAAGGCCCTGTCTCTAAACTCTTCCCGCAAATGCACACAGGAAGGAATGGCAGCACTAACTGAACAATAAAGTAACCGTCTGTTTCTCTTTCTCCCCTGCTCCCAAGAATGGGAAAGCAAGGGCTCTGGTCAAGAAGGATTTACCCAAAGGATTATATTAGTGCTCCGACTCACAAAGCCTTCAACACAGACCCTTGCACAAAAGGACCTGAAGGCGCATTCCAGTTCCCAGAGCATCTTATCTCTTACTGCCCTGCAGGTTCTTGCCTTGTCTTTGCATCTTTCCTGGCCTGCAGCATGGTCCTTGTCAGGTCTTCGGGGTTGGAAAATTTCCTTTTGGTTCTTGGTGTTATGCTGTTTAGAGACATGGTCTCGCTAAAGAACCCAGATTGGCCTCAACTTCATTTATTTTTAATTTTTTAAAGGTGTGTGTGTGCGCGCGCGCACACGCGCGCACAAGCTCATAAGACACCTTGTGGGAGTCAATCCTCTCCCTCCACCACGTGGGTCCTAGCAATCACACTCAGGGCCTCAGGCTTGGAGGCCTTTGCCTGCTGAGCTGTTCACTGCCCTGACCTTTTGTTTGGAAAGCCAGGCTTACAGGTGTGATTACTCATCTTGCCCAGCCTATTCCAAGTGGTTTGTGCTCAAGGCACTAGAGCTTGAGCCCAGGGCTTTCCCTGTGTTGGGGTGCTGTGCACTTCCTCCTCCTGCTCAGTCCACTGACCACTGCTAGGTCCCCAAACATACTAAGATGCCGCCCACCTCGAACCACTCCACTAATGCTCCCATGCCAGAGTGCTCCCCTCCACCTCTGCCTCGTATCTAACTCGCTCCCGCCTTCAGTCATTTTCTTAGTGACCCGGAAGAGCCCATCTGATCTGCCTTTCCCTTTCCGGTCGACTTTTTTTTTTCCCCCAAAGTGTTTATCAAACACTTCCTACAACACTGTATTACTATACCTTGAGGACCGGTGCTTTTGTCTAAGTAGATCAGGTTCTTTTTTGGAAAGATTTCTCTGTGTGTGAGCATCTGTGTCTGCATGAATTTATGTACCCCACATATGTACAGGTGCCCTTCACGGCCAGACAGCATCAGATCCCCCGTAGTTTTCACGTCGGCACCATGTGGGTGCTGGAAACTGAGTGCAGGACCTCAGCAGATCAGTCAGTGCTCTTATCCACGGAGGCTTTTCTCCAGCCCCAGATAGAGTTCTCTCGCTGCCTCCGTGAGACCCAGAACACGTCATACAGTGAATGCGAAAGTTCTTATTTATTTTTGTGATCCTTAATTTTCTGTGAGGCCAGTTGTTCTCTGCTGTCAGATTACTCTCTGTGGCTGTCTAAATCAGTGCCTGTTCATGCAGCCTCTCCAGTCATGTAACCCATAGATAAGTGCCATCGTACATGGTACAGAAAGGTTCTGTGTGGGAGTCATGTGTCTCCTCTGCTCGACAGGCTGGGGTAAGGTGATTGCTCACAGTGTGGTCTCAGAGTGATTTTGTTGGGCTGGGGATGCACCTCAGTTGGCAGGGTTTGCCCTGGGTTCCATCCCTAGCACTATCTAAAGGCAGGTGTAATGTTGCACACCTGTAATTGGAGAACTCAGCCAGCCGGGCGGTGGTGGCACACTCCTTTAATCCCAGCACTCGAGAGGCAGAGGCAGGCGGATCTCTGTGAGTCGTGAATTTGAAGTCATCCTGGGCTAGATGAGATCCTGTCTCAATAAGAAGGAAGAAGGAAAGAAATTACTAAAGAGTTTGAGACGTGTCTATCTATCAAGGAAGATGTCCAACTTTGGGATTTTTTTGTTGTTTTGGCTTTGTTTGTTTGGTGTTGGAGACGGGGTCTCTCTCCACAGCTCTGGCTAGGTAGACCTCATTGTATAGAACAAATTGCCTCAAACTCAGGGCAATCCTCCTGTTTCTGCCTCTGGAGTGCTGAGATCAAAGGCGTGTGCCATCATGCCTGGCCTGGTCTGGTTTGTTACATGTAACAGACATTTATTTATTGGAGGGCAAGGGGAAGCACGTATCTCATGGTGTTTGGGGATCAGAGGACAACTTCCGGTAATTTTCTTCTTCTGCCCTTGAGTTCCTGTGATAGAACTCATGCTGTCCAGCGTGTTGTCAAGTTTGCTGACATGAACCTTTACAGCTGAGCCATCCTTACCAGTCCCTCTCATCCAAATTTCAGTTAAGTTCCCCTTTGCCCCAGTTCTTGTTATATACAGATTTCTCACCCTTATTTTCTGCACCAGCTGGCTCCTTCTGGAATATTTTGCCAGTTTTAAGATAGACTTGAGAGTAATTTAGAAATAGGTGGCCAGAAACTGTGGCATCTGAGGTAAGAAGGAAATCTGGGAGTAGAGTAGCTCTAACACTGTTGAGCCAGCAGTCGGGAGCACGCTTGCGCAGGGACCAGCTTTGGAGCCCAGCACCTACACAGTGGCTCCCAACTATCTACTCCAATTCCAGGGGATCCAATGCCTCTGACTTCTCTAAGCACCAGATATCCACACAGTACATATTACTCAAAAACATAATATAAAGTTTAAAAATCTAAAACAAGGGGGCTTGAGAGATGACTCAGCAGTTAAGAGCACTGACTGCTCTTCCAGAAGTCCTGAGTTCAATTCCCAGCAACCACATGGTGGCTCACAGCCATCTGTAATGAGATCTGGTGCCCTCTTCTGACCTGCAGGCATACATGATGGCAGAAAACTTTATACATCATAAAGAAATAAATTTTTAAAAAAAGAAAAATGTAAAACAAGATTCATTTATTAAAGTGAAAGAAAGCCAGTGTGGTTGCACACACCTCTGATCCCAGCACTCAGGTGACAGAACCAGGTGGATTTCTGAGTTTGACGCCAACCTGGTCTACATACAGAGCTTCAGGACAGCTAGGACTACATAGAGAAACCCTGTATCCAGAGAGAGAGAGAGAGAGAGAGAGAGAGAGAGATGCAAATATGCAGAGTTAGAAAGCAGACAACTCATGAATTAAGAGCTTTGTAGGTATCTGCGATGAGGTGCGTGCAGAGAAGGCTGCTCTCTGTCACAAAACTTTAAGCAGTTATTAACAAAAAAGAACATCTGGGCAGGGGGTGGGTAGTAGGGCATCCTGTCATGGATACGTCAGCAAAAGGGCTCAACTTCATGATCTGGGGTTCTAGCCCTGAAACCCACATGGTAGGAGAGAACCAATTCACTGATCTCCACACGCACCGTGCACATGCATGCACACACACACAAATAAATGTTTAAAAGAATTTTATAATTAGGGCCAGGCGGTGGTGGTGAAAACTTCTTTAAATCCCAGCACTTGGGAGGTAGAGTTCGAGGCCAGCCTGCTCTACAGAGTGAGTTCTAAGATAGTCAGAACCACACAGAGAAACCCTGTTTTTGAAAAAAGAAAAATAATAATAAAATAAGGAATGAGTCCTTACTGCGTGGAGTGCGCCTGGAGGAAACTGGAAGCTTCATGTTGTGTGTGACAACGCACTTCTTTGCTGGTTCTTCGTCTTTGAGCACATCTCAGTTTAGCTGAGCCCCGCCAAGTAGCCATTCAGGTCTTAGGGATGCACTTAGGAAATACACAAGGAGCTAGGGCTATTCCTGCAACAGTCCTGAGGCTAGAGACCAAGGGGCACGGCAAAACTAAGACTTTCTGTTGCCTGGGTTGGGCGACGGAGCCACCCTGGGCTTAGCGGATCATCCGAGACAGATAGAGAGTCGGGGTATGGCAGGATGCTGCTGTAGAGCCTCTGAGGACCTTGGAGCTCTCCTTCCAGCCCCTCTCCTTCCAGTCCTCTCTGCAGTCTCAGCAGAGGGACCTGGAGGGACAAGGTCTGAGGGAGCCTCCCCCAAGTGCTTCCTATCCCACTCCTTCCCATGGGCTTTGCGATGTTTCAAAGAAGCTGATGTCGCTGCAAACAATTGCAAACATTTTTAGTTTTTGTTCTCCTCCCCACTGCCCCATCGCCACCCCAAGAAAAGGCAATCTCTCTCAGAAAACAGATCAGTGATGGTAGAACTCACGTTTTGAATCCTGTTAGTTGCCTGCTGAAGTGTTGGGTGACTTCCTGGGCAGCCTTTGTCAGGTCAATGACTCCTTCACCTGGCTGAGGACGTGCTCAGGCTGTGTAGCGTGCGGGAAGGATTTCGCTCTGTTCTGGATGGGTGCCTTTCTTGTAGAGCAAGCACCTGTGTCTTCCACGTCTCATTCTGAGGTTGTCCACTGAAGCTGTGCGTTCCTGATTCATGAGCTCAGCTTATGCTGTGATCCTCAAGCTCCCGAGGGCAGCTGGAGAGAGAAGGGAGTGAGAAGAGCAGAGGACTAGAGGACTGTAGCTGCCTGAAAGAAGAGGCTGGCTCAGCAGCTTTTACTTCCTGTCTGTTCCCTAGCTCATTTTTTGCACAATGATGCCCCCTAGTGGCAGATGATAACAACGGACAGAGCCTTCTTCAGGCCTGCTAGACAACTGAGCGACATGCCCCAGCCCAAGACTTCATACTATAAAATGACAAAATGATACAAATAAGTGTAAATAAAAAACTGAGGCACGAAGCTGGAGCAGATGAGTGTGAGACCAGCCTGGACCGTATAATGAGATGATGTCAGAAATCAGTACGTAACGCATGAGAAGTTGGCGGCAGGGGCTTACATGGAGTGCTTGTGTAGAGGTCACCTTTTAAACCCCTAGTTTGTTTTCCCAACTGAGATGGTTTTGTGTAATTCTCTTTATTTTTGATGTTTTTCATTATATTTCTCTGTATGTATGTGTGTGGACATACTTGTTCCACGGTATTCTCGTGGAGGTCAGAGGCCTTGCTATGTGGGTTCTAGGTATAAACTCGGGCTGTCAGGCAATGACCCCCTGAACCTTCTGATCAATCTCCATGATTCTGTCACTTTTCTTTGGTAATAGTCCTGTTACATTCATAGCGCCAAAAGTCACCCTTTGACAACCCACCCCCAAGAAACCCAAGTACATCATTTGGATGCACTGGCTTCTTAGTGATCTGATGTGAGAATTAATTGTTGTTTATGGTTTTAGTTATGCTGTATATTTTGTGGATCTACCCCCAGTGGTGATGGCCAGAAAATAAAGTGAAAACACTACTAGGGTTTTTTGTTTAGTTGGTTTTTGGTGTTTTTTTGAGACAGCATTTTTCTTTGTAAGCCTGGCTGTCATGGAACTCACTCTGTAGACCAGGCTGGCCTTGAAGTCACAGAGATCCGCCTCCAGTACTAGGGTTTTAACCTTCCTCATCTACTACATCTAATAAGCACAGAGGGGTAGGACGTTGCTTAGCGTGAAGCCCATTTCCACCACCAAGACCAGCGCGGCTCATGATCGGGTTGGGTTTTCTACCCCTTGCTCTGCCCACCTTAACTGCAGAGAGACCTGTGAGCCTACAAAGCTCCAGGGACTAGATAGATCCCAGTTTGGAGTATGAGAACCAAATGAAAGAAGGACTGCAGGAAGGAGCGGCAAGCTCAGAGAGCCTTTCGTCTGTAAGTCTGAACTTGGCAACGAACCTGAGATCTCCTGTTTCCATGGAAGTGGTCAAGAAAGTGTGCTAAGCCCTCCTCCCCTCCATAGAGATGGCGTAGTCCATTAGAACTGAGCAGCCCACAGGCACCTCACTGCACCTGTGAAGGGTATGTGTGGGGCCAGAGAGGGGGTTCCCTGGCCTCTCTCATCCTCTTGTATTATTTTCTTCCCTCTAGGCCTGTTGTGAGGGCTGGATAGGGGCTTGCACTGACAAGGGCCGGAGCACATTCTGCCAGTGAGTGACAGCCGGGTGCACACTGTCTCCCTGGCCTCTGTGCCTAGTCCATCTTCTCTCTCTTGCAGTCCAACAAGGTTCCTGTTGTCCAGCATCCTCATCACATGCACCCGTTGACACCCCTCATCACCTACAGCAACGACCACTTCTCCCCTGCTTCCCCTCCCACGCATCTCTCCCCAGAGATCGATCCAAAGACAGGTGAGTGGTCCCAGGTATGGGCTGTGCTCCCACGGAGCGGGGTTTAGAAGAATCCTTGAATGAATAAGATCTGTATTCAGATCTTGTGGGAGTTCTCTAAAGGCTGGTTGCCTTGCCGGTTTGCTTGAGTAGTGTTTTGTTTGTTTTGTTGTTTGGTCTGGTGGGTTTTTGCTTGGTTGGTTGGTTGGTTTTAACCTATGCCTTCCACCTATCCACACTAAAAGGCCATTGTGAGGAATAAAGAAATAAAAGAAGTTAAGCATAGACCCTGGTACCGTTGTACATTCAGAGTGCTGTCCGGTCTCTCTGAGGCTGTGCCTCCGCAAACCAGAATGTGTGCTCTACACCATATATTTCAAATAAGGGCCTTCTGGAGAGACTTTAAAATAGCTCTAACACCGGGGTGGGGCTGCCTTTTTATGTGTTGTCGGTGATGATTAACTGCCCACCATACCTGTCTGTCCCTGGGAGCCAAGGTCTTCATAACATTCCTACTGAGTCACTGTGGTTCTAGGAATTTTCAGAGCCCTTATTTGGAGAAATGCTGATTATTGCTGGGGAGGGATAAAGGTAAGGTGAGAATCCAGCATTTAGAAGCGGGGTGGTTTATTGGCAGAATAAGTTTATTGTACTGGGAATCAATCAGGATTTCTAGAACATGGGTTAAAGGATGACTCGGGATATTTTTTGCTCTCTGTGGGCTATGTCCTGGTCCCTGTATGGCACCCTGTCCAGAAAACAAAAACAAATTACAACCACAGAGATAGCTCCTGGGTAGCTAGAGAGACAGTACAACCACAGAGATAGCTCCTGGGTAGCTAGAGAGACAGTACAACCACAGAGATAGCTCCTGGATAGTAGAGAGACAGTATATGGGTCCTCCCTCCCTTAGATGCCCTTGAGTGGCAGCCCAGAGCTGCGCGAAGGTGGAAAGGGCAGCGATTCTAAGAGACAAGGGCTTCCCGGGGTGTGGACAGCCTGGGTGTGCCGTGGAAGGAGGCTCCTGTTGGATGTTATGAGTTATGAAGGTAGGGAGAGGGGACTATCTGACACATGTCTCTCTGGAAGCAGGAATTCCCCGGCCCCCTCATCCATCTGAGCTGTCGCCATATTACCCGCTGTCTCCAGGAGCTGTTGGACAAATCCCCCATCCCCTCGGCTGGCTGGTCCCACAGTAAGGAAACCCACAGCCTTTCTTACCTTCCTTCCTTCCACCACTGAGCTCTGCCTTCTGGACCCCAGGGCTTAGACATTACTCCCCCAGCTTCTCTGACTCCCTGCCCCCATTTCTCTGCAGCCCCCTCATGTCTGACTAAGTCATCTTGTTCCTTCCTCACCCTCACAGGCAAGGACAGCCCATGTACTCACTCCCTCCTGGTGGTTTCCGGCATCCTTACCCTGCCCTCGCCATGAACGCCTCAATGTCCAGGTTAGTCCTGGGGCTGGGGCCGACAATATGACGTGTTGGGATATTTGTCTATTAGTGACTGTGCCGGTTCTGTCCATGAACCGGCCTGTCCCCTGTAGGTTAGTGAGCAGGTATGGGGTTCCCTGATCCTCACTTCTCTTTGATGAGGGGGCTACTTCTTGCCAAATGCTCTTTATACCACAGCCCCATGGAATGGGACCTCAGGACTCTCTCTCTCTCTCTCTCTCTCTCTCTCTCTCTGGAATGGGACCTCAGGACTCTCTCTCTCTCTCTCTCTCTCTCTCTCTCTCTGGAATGGGACCTCAGGTCTCTCTCTTTCTCTCTCTCTCTCTCTCTTTCTCTCTCTCTCTCTCTCTCTTTCTCTCTCTCTCTCTCTCTCTCTCTCTCTCTCTCTCTCTCTCACACACACACACACACACACACAGCTAAAACCTCAGAGCCCTAGCCTGTTACCCTGCCTCCACATCCCACCTACCAGGCCCTGGGGAACAGAGTCATTTTGAACATGTCACACTGAAGCCAGAGACTAGGTGAAAATGTCTATCTTCTGTGATGATGTCAGATAAGGACACAATGTATGGAAAATTGTCGCAGGGGTGGCTCTACCTAACAGTGGGACTGTCAGTGACAGATAACCTATGGCCCACAGTCCTGCCTTTCCCTGTATCTCATGCCTTCTGTCTGTCACGCCTCTTGTGTTTTTCATTCTCCCTGCATTCAGCACCAGGCTTGGGTATCTTGTGTGTGGTAGGGGAAGGGGAATAGCATTCTTAGTCATTCCCTAAAGCTGAGAGCCTGATTCTGTAGAACACAGTCATCTGGGTGGCACACGGCCCTTGCCTCTCTGTTCTCATTTGTCTCCACTGGTTTTGCAGCCTGGTCTCAAGTCGGTTCTCCCCACACATGGTGGCCCCTGCCCATCCTGGTCTGCCCACCTCAGGAATCCCCCACCCTGCCATCGTCTCCCCCATCGTGAAGCAGGAGCCAGCGCCCCCCAGTCTGAGCCCTGCAGTGAGTGCGTAAGTAAGAGGCCGTCTGGATGGAGGGGAAAGTGAGCGACTGACCAGTCCATGTCACTTGGTTTTCTCTCCTGGTCTCAGCTTGCAATCCTAGTCCTGTCTTCTCTCCCAGAGACTGTTTGATTTTCTGCATCCCTTCCTTTAAGACTTGGTGCATCTGTTCTCATGGTCAGGTCCTAGTGGTTGTGAGGAACTAAGGAAGCTTTCAGCTTCACTCCCTTCCCTGCCTTCTCAATAAAACATGAGGCCAGAGCCGGGCGGTGGTGGCGCACGCCTTTAATCCCAGCACTCGGGAGGCAGAGCCAGGCGGATCTCTGTGAGTTCGAGACCAGCCTGGTCTACAAGAGCTAGTTCCAGGACAGGCTCCAAAACCACAGAGAAACCCTGTCTCGAAAAACCACAAAAAAAAAAAAAATGAGGCCAGGAAAGGAGAAAGTAATTCTCCCAAGGACTCACGAGAGCTGATGCCAGAGCAAAGACCCAGACATTATCCTTTGTCGGAAAGACAGCAGGAAAGCCCACACCACTAACACCATGGCTGAAGAGCCCAGAGAACCATAGCCTACCTCCTTCTCTTCCTCTCTCTTCTCGCCTCTTCCTCTCTCTCTTCGTCCCCCACCCACCCAGATCCTTCATTTATTATGTATATATGCACCAGAAGAGGACATCAGATCTCATTACAGATGGTTGTGAGCCACCATGTGATTGCTGGGAATTGAACTCAGGACCTATGGAAGAGCAGTCAGTGCTCTTAACCTCTGAGCCATCTCTCCAGTCCTCTGCCCACACATGTCCACCCAAACCAGCCTCTCCTCCCAAAGGTGTTGTTCAGCTGCCGGTGAATCACTGACAGGGGGAGCG